CAGCAGATGATTACTTAGTGAAAATTATAACATGAAATCATAAACACTGGGAATTTTTAAAAATGTGATGGGCTTCATTGTAGTCTTCATATTCAATCAAACCTCTTTGGAAAATAAATTTAAAGTGAAAACGATCAAAAATGTATCCTACTTTATGAATAGTACTGACAATAAAAGCCTTTATATATATATATATATATATATATAAACCGTATCCTTGAAATCATTTTAATGAAGATGAAAATAAATTAGACAGCTGAATGAAACTAATTCATCTTTTGGATTTAGTGCACTCTGTGAAGCTTTAAAAAAGGGTGAAGGACGTATGGACGGTACTGCACCAATAAAATAGTCGTTTATTTCTATAAACAAAGGCTAAATAGTTCTCATCTTTTCACAAATAGGTTCACAATAGTTTTGTTGCAGTGATTTTATGTACCTTATTCTACCAGACATTCATTATTGGTATTAAAGTAAAAATTAATTTATGCATTAATCCAGTATTTAGACTTTGATATCTTTAAGCTTATAGTATGATTGATAGCGGTCATGTAATCAGAAATGTCAAATAACATTATGGCTTGTTCTAAATAAAAAATAACCGAACCTTAGTTCTAACTTTTTCTTTGTTACGACTAAGGCGATTAATAAAGAAATTAATAATTAATACACAGTCGTTCATGTTAGAAATATTAGGGTTTGTTAGTGTCATTTAAAATTTATCCACTAATAACACTCGACAGATACTAATTGGCATGCCACGGTTAGTTGTACTAACTACATGACCATATTTGAATGAGAACTTTAAACTTTGAGGTTATTCACAACTGTTGGACTAACCACCTAAAGCTTTTATTAATTTATTTATCTATTTTATTTCCAGTCAAAACTATTTGATATTGGTGTTATGATTTTTGCCCCGTTAATTTGTCACGTAATATGATCGTCAGTCAGAATACGACTTATTCAAACTTAACACTGTGGAACAACAATGTCGTATCGACCGGTATGAGCAGCCTAGCGTCCTTATTGATCCTTTTTCTGCTTAGACCCGCCTATTGAGTCCAGAACGTCAATATCAGCTTCCACCGCACGAATCATTTATTTCAAACATACTTGGTTTATATATAAGCAAACCAGACCATATCATACCGTAAATAAAAATAACAATTGTGCAAGATCAAGTTAAAAAGTGACTGTGGTCGTAGGAGACTAATAAATAAAATGAGTATAATTTAAAAATAGTAAATTGTATCATAATATTCTATAGGTCAAAATAAAGCTTATAATAAGAGAAATATAAATATGCATAATCTAGTTACTCAGTAATTATACAATAAGAATATATGTATAATATTAGCCAATTCATGGCTGTCATAGTTACTCATAAGCTAATCTTCGCTAGGATGTAACAATTGGAATATCAGTTAAAATACCAGTTGCATGAAACACATGTAAAGTAACATCAAGCACCATTAGTTTTCACGCTAGATTTAGAATGTCTTCTTATTCGTAGCTTTCAACACATTATCATTTTAACACCATTCACCCTAAACTAAACTAATACACCCCTCCAGTATTATCGAGTAGGCAACGGTAAGCCAACCAATTAAATGTACGCATTTGATTGGTTAATTAAAATTTGACTTCACTCCTTTCCTTATTTGATGATTGGTTGAATAGTCTTTTTAACGGTACACAACCTAAATTTTTCACAATATATACACGGAAAACATAAGGGGAATACGTTACGTTAGTCCAAGCCGAAACTAAACAAAAGGTATGCATACATTGATTTATTACTTTAATCTAAGCATTAAATGATTAGAATTTATATGTAAGTCTGTCAGAAATCATAAAAGTACGAATTTTGAAAGTGGATTGACTGACAAACTCATAATACCACACTTAGGACTTTGTCTATCTAGATAAAACTTAACTTCACAGAGTAAGTTTAGTTGATATCCCGTTTCTTACTCAATATTCAGAGATCATGTGTACAAACACTACCGTCAACAGTAAAATCGAACGAATTTCGAAGTGTGATTTAATTAATAAGATTTTGTTACCAAGATTGCACAGCAACTATTTCTTAGATCGAAACAATCAAAATGATTTTTCAGCTACATCTTTATTAAGGTTTACTCTAATATATACTAGTACTTATATGCATATATGAAAATATTAAATTGATCAAGGCAGTTTAATGAGTCAGTCTTAACAACGAAATGGATAACTTAATTAAACATGATAGATAAAGAGTACAAATTGTGACGTGACGACCATTGTACTGTTTGCGATAATAATAATAATAAAGGTTTGTATTAATGTTTCATAATCGGTTATAGATCAGAGACTAGGAAAGATTAACACTAAAATAATATTCATTAAAAGTTATCAAAATTACGTTATGATTATTCAAATAATTAGGCAGTGAAGAATACATTATTTGGTTATTTCTAAGGCTATTATTGTTCATGACATTTTTGTTGCTGTGAGATTTAATTGTCTTAATTATCTTCACCACTGCTAAAATAAGAAAAATACAACGGTACAGTGAGATTGACAATGAAGGAAGTCCTTTTTCAGTTTAATGAATGAGTTTATAATCATGTTATTTCACTACCCGTCACTATAATAAAAGCGTTATTTGTATTCCGCTCACTGAATTGTAGAATAGCCAGTCTGTCACCGTAACACAAACTAGATTTCTTGCACTTAAAACCGTTGTATGTAGTGTTTTGTCATAACTGTTTTCAGATTGAATACAATTTATAATAATCATGTCTAATACACGTTAATGATCACTATAATCTCAAGTAGAGTTTAGGGAACAGTCATCCTCCGATTTCATTACTGCAGAATTGTGCCATTATAATTTCCTTGTGTTTCCATCCAGGCCTTGTTGATAAATGTCACTAACTATAAAGGCTAGACTTAACGTTCGCATTTTACACTTTACTACTCAGACCATACTTGATAATTAAGACGAAAAGATCAGGAATCTCTGTTGTCCAAAGGTTCAGAGACCGTCTCTTCTTTAGTGTCGTTTTCCTATGCCACTAACAATAAATTCACTAACTCTGTTATTGCATTATTTCAAATACAATCGAAAGGTTAAGCGAGTTTTCACTTTCTCATACCTTTAATTTGAATATCAGGAAACAAACTTAGTGGTTATAGAATCTTTTTTGTTACTGTTGTTAATAACTCATGTAGTTATATAGACAAGATATTAGAAAAATGACTTGCCACAATTTCTAAATTTCATTAGATGCATAAGTAAGACAATTTTGTTATAAAATTTGAGCAGTCTACTTATAGTTAACTAATTGATAATATGATTAATGATGATCAAGGCAAAGAAAAGTATTGGACAGATCGAAAAATAGCTTTCATTTAGAACTAAACAAAAAATACCATGAACTAACAGTCTAGTAAATTATCAACTAAAAATGTGTATAAACTAACCTACAAGAGAATAACTATCCATTTCTCTTTTATTTCTAACGCGGACTTTTTTCAGTTTTTAAATTATCCGATAACAGTTAATTGTCATCACCCCAGTATGATATCTACTAGTATGCAATTTACTGTAGATATTATTATTGTTACATTATGTGACCTAACTTATATATCAACTGTTTTACTCAGTAAAAGTTGGATTCAACTTTTCAACTGCCTATAAACATCCGTAAGAAATAATTGTTTTTTCCTTACATGTGTCTAAACAAATGAGGGCTAGATTGAGTCTCTTACATAATAAACGTAGAGAGGATTATTTTGTCTTAGTCTAGTTGAATGGTAGAACAGCCATTACGAGGTAACCTACTAAACAAATATATTCCTATATTGCCACTGTATAATAGATAAGCTGAGATAAATTATGTATATATTATCATAAAACAGCTTGCACAGAAGTATGCTTATAAACACATGAGGGAAGATCATAAATTTTAAAACGTTTGTTGTCAATATTATTATTTTATTTTATTTAAACACATAAATATTGGTACAAGGAAGCACCAGATAAATATGCGCCTCACAAATCTCATTCGATTTGTGTGAGGGCTGTGATAATGCCCAGGTGTTCAGACTGAAGCAGGTGGTTTTCTTAGGGGGCCACACCCGGAGCCTTTGACCTGAATGTCTGATCCACAAAGCAGTGGAGCATCGTGAGGAGATGCAGTCCCATGGTAGCCGGTGATCAACGGTTGATTCGTATGTCATTTGTTCCCTCAGGATACTGGAGCCCATGTGCACCACTGGTTTGGAATCAGGGTTTTCCAACTCCCCTAGGTGAACTTTCCATGTCCACCAACCCGGTTAAAGCGCCGGACATTCGCTTTTCGTCCTCTCACTTTCGTAAACAACTCCCCCGCCACTGACATGAAAAGAAATAATGATACATCATTAATCTACATTGCTAAAAATGTATGTGTGTAATAGTACTCAATAAGTAAATATACTGGAGTTTTAAATCCCGAACTAACTTCGTTCACTATTGCCAATTGACTGAGTTTAGAAATGCAAACCATTGACAACCAGCTAAACAATCTGAGGGTCAAACTCTTAACTAGAGGCCTGTAGTTTTTGGATCCTATCTTTGGTCGGTTTTTACATGCCCACTACTAAATAGTTCCTTACTCGAATAAAAATGTTGTTCAAAGCCTTCTAGTTTCTAATGGTTGTTCAATTAAAGTCATTTCTCAATGAAAAACTACGAAATAAAACAGTTCCCTGTACTAATGAATATGTTGTAGTTGATAATCGTTTATTGTGACTCTGATAAAAGACTCATGATCTGTGAGCTGAATTAAGTAGAAATTATCAATACATAATGTTTTCAATATTGAGTATTCAGTTCACTTAAATCACGAAAAGGACTGATGTTTTTTTTTAATTTTTTGTTTTATATTTAGCGTTCACTGTACATTCCTCAATATAGTTTTACTGACGGAAATTTTGTTTCTTTATACACATTAGTTCTTCACCAAAAAATGAACCGTACAAATTCTCCATTAGATGAAGCATATGAGACATGCAGTGGATTGGATTTAACATTAAAGGATCAATCTGTTTTGGAATCCCATGTACAAGCTTCATCGACACCAAGACGATTAAATTATATCCTATCAAAAACTCTTTACGAACAAAATGATTATTATTGTTCAGAACAATTTAACACTAGCGAACATATAAACCAAGTTCAAAATAGTATTGAGTCTCAGGAGAATAATAAAGGATTCGGATTAAACTATAGTTCAGGATCACGTAATAGTAAAGGTTCCACTGTTTCCTGTTACCACTCAGTACAATCAAACAATTTGGATTATAGTAAAGAAATTGCAAATCCTGATAAACTAGGTCCCCTTGATTTACGTATTAAGTCATTCTCGGATGATGTTAACTTGATTAATAACAGAGATAGTGGATATTTAGTCATTACCACAGACACCAAAACAGAATGTGAAATGTCCACCCATACATTTTTATCTAATCAAGCGATACATCAGAAAAAGCTTTCAAATATTGAAAAACAAACGAGCAACTCCTTCAACATTCAGTCCATACTAGGAGTAACAGAACAATTTAAAGTATTTTCTGAAACTACTAGTACTACAGATAGCAACACATTTGATAACAAAATAAAAAATAATATGGAGATAATAGATCGAACAAAAACCTCAAATTCTTTTTTCGATCAGTTTCTAGCTGGTCATTTGCAAGCTATGAATCCATTACTGCTGAGTTCACGTGGAATTGAAATACAGAGTCTAATTACACCACCACAACCTCTAGACACTGCAGGAAACATACAGTCTACAGCTGTCTCGATGACGTTCTCATTAAATGAAACAGGTACTGTAAAATTTCCGGTTAAACAGAATGCAAGAAAGTCGAATCCTACTACACCAATGTATAGTATAACTAACGATATGACCAACCGACAATTACAAGTGAAAAATAATGATTCTGTTCATGACAGTTTAAAACAAACGGAATGTGTTCAACAATCAATGAATAATATTTACGACTTGAGTGGTTCATCGCTCTCTAATGAAGATGATGTAATAACTAGACAACGAGCCCAAACGTTTGATGTAGGAAAAACACCCGTTATATTATATTGCCCAGAACCATCAGACAGCAAAACAAAAGTGAAGGTAAAGCGATTTCTTATGGTTAAATCTGAGCCGTACTTCTTTCCATTCGTTATTTATTTTTATGAATATAATTAATTAAAACCATAAAAATTTGACAAATGAAAATCATGTGTCATTCCACACTAGAACTAATGAACAGTAGACATAATTAATTTGTTTTTGGTTAAACAGTGAAAAAAATTTGAAGTTTCAATAACTTTGGTAAATGGTTTGACTGATATATTCAAGTGTCATGAAGGTCTACTGTCATCTTGGAGCAGTTTCCTGGTTTTATAAACAATATACTCCTACCGGAATGTCCTCTGCAAATTATAATTATAATTAATTATAATTATGATTAATTATAATTATAATGCTACTCAACTGAGTAACAACCATTAAAATAATTTAGTAGTGAAGCGAGAGTAATTCTCTACACGATTAAACATATACATACATTGGAACTTCTGGTATACAGAAACGCAAAGACAGGATATAAAAGAAGTTACGGATCATATGATATGAATCTTCAACTCCGTTACGGTGCCCTAAAGAACCACAGATGCTTGATTCGTTTTTGTGAGAAGCGGTGTAAAAATATAGAAAGTCAACTGCCAACTGGACAGTAGATTCTTGGTAAAGTACTTCCCATGGTCAAATGATTGATCAGCTCATAGCACATGTACACCAATGGTATATGGTGTTTTCGTAAGAATCCCATAATCATTAAATTGATATTCTAACATAATTTCTAATAACTTCTTATTTTTTTCTCTTAATTTGTGAAGGCCATGCTAGAACGGAATGACCCATGTTTAAAATATGTCAATGATGGAGCTGCGATACGCAACCCATTTGCCATTGATCGAAAAATTCAACTGGTCCATTTAACTTCACTATTATGTAAGTACGTTTTCAGATGTAGCATTCATGCTTCATTATTTGCTTATGATAAAAATGTAGGAAATTATTAAACTTAGAGATCCTCCTTTATTAACATCGCTTTCGATTGTTAAAAAGTCAAGCGATTTATATATATATATATATATATATATATACTAGTGTAATTTAATGAAATGTTATGGACTATTTATGTTGACGAGAGATTACTCTGACAGTAGTTCCTAGTATGTCACTCAAATTTATATCATCAATATTTTATTTAGTTGAGAGACTAGTCTTACTAAATCTTAGCATTTTGTACAACTGTTTGGAAACAATAGAACATCCATTACTGGTACACTGCAATCATATTTCTGAAGTTACACAGAAACCACCCTATTAAATGTTCTGAAATTATTACTGCAGTTATTATTATTATTACATTCACAGTAGCTTTCATAAGCAATTTATCATAGCAATTGATAGAAAGACTAATTACTTACCAGACCAGGTGTAATTTGATTCTTTTCAACCGAGAATAACACGTTTCAGCAACTAGTGTTTAACTGACGGTTAACTAAAGGTGTGAGATATTCATTTTATAATATTACAGCAACCATCTTAAGACAGTAATAGAAAGGGAACAAACAAAATTTGGTCAGACCTAATGTTGATATTACATTGTTTTATAGGTTAACAGTATACACATGAGTGGATAGAAACAAAATATTAAAATATATTTTGACAAATATATTAATTGTTTGGAAATAATTGTCAGTAATTTATAGATATCAAGTTTGTTAGTGTTATGATGGCATGCCGTACATTCCGAGGTGCTTTTCGTCCTGAAGTGAGAACAGCTAAGCAATGATTGTTAATCAGGTACTATTGAAGAGACTTTCAGTCCAAACTTAATTACCCCTTGGCAATTCTAACTTATTACTCCAAGAAGTATCTAACTCAAAGCTTAAAATTATTAATATGCACTATTACCTATCTACTCAGTGACTCTCAAGAACTGTGTTTACAGTGCAACTTGAGTTTTTCCATTTTGCTTATTGAACGGATTCCCATGTTGAATATGCTAATGAGTCCCTGATCTAAAACGAAACAGCGATCCGATATTCTCAGATGCTTTAAAGATTGTCTTACCCTTAACAGTTCATGATACAAAACAACTTGAAATCAATAATCCACTCATACAACAACTGTTTTACACTGATACAGATTAGATCAACACCGCTGGATGCCGGCTCAATGACCTAGAGGTTAAGCGCTCGCGTGTGAAACTGGTAAGTCCTGGGTTCGAATCTCGCGAGTGCGGGATCGTGGATGCGCACTGCTGAGGCGTCCCATAGTAGGACGAAACGGCTGTCCAGTGCTTCCAGGTTTTCCTTGGTGGTCTAGCTTCAAATGATTCATGATTTCAACTTTGAAAAATACTGAAATCTCCACAAATCCCCTTCTGATCAAGAGGAAGATTTAAACAATCACTACAAAAATGAATAAAATGGATTGGTTTTAGATTATTGTGTGGTCAGTTTAATATTCCCGTAAAGATTGTGAGTGCTGATCATTCATGGGTTAATCTATGCACGCGAGAATATCATTATATTTTGATAATAATGAACTTAATTAACCTTAATTTTTTAAATCATTTCATAGATTTAATTTTTATTTATTCAATTCAGTGGTGAATTTTAAAATAAAATGTGTTATGATCTATATTATCATTGCTTTACTTGCCCATTTGTGTTTACCACTTCCGTTTTTTTCACTCATACAACCAAATACATGAATAGAATAGTGATGATTCACAATATTGTACATTTCTTAAAATTGGAAATTATTCTAATTCCGACTACAAAATTGATGATTGTTCCGTTCAAAGCACATTTTTAACAATATTTCTGATCATCGTAACTTAGTTGTTTTGGATAGAAATTAGCTTGACTAGAATGAGGTACATAGTTTATGCCTTTATCTAATGTAAATGTGATAAGCTTAAATGAAATATTGAAGTTAGTTAACCGTCATTCAGCCAATAATAAAATGAGAATAATGAAACCAGGCAACCAGATAAAGTTCTTGTAACATTATTAGCCTAATCTACTCATGTTCAGAAAAACGTTAAGGAGCTAGTAACCCTAAGGCAAGAAAACGTTGTTAAAATATGTTTTAGTTGATAATTCTCACCCTTAAGACCATCACCAATAATCACTCAAGTTTGTTTCTATAATACAGCTAGCCATTTTTTCATGATGGTCAGCATATAGCATGCTGTGAGATTATTTTATAACCTTTTTACATCATGATGAGAGGGAAATTCATTAAAAGAATTATATATGAAAAACTTACTAATTAATATGAATGTTTTTATTTTTTTTAATGGCATTAAAATTATTATTATTATTTCCAACTAACTTAATATTTGGAATGAGAGGAAGTTTAATTTGTTTCCTCAATTGTCTTGATCTATAATTCTATTTTAGTGTTTTATATTTTTAAAAAATAATTAAATCTTAAGTCACTTTCAACTTATAATTGCCTCAATCTCTCCGAATAAATTTTTAGTGGAATCAGCTTAATGTAATGCGGTGACTTTTACTAAATTGAAAATCCTCTCTGCTAAAAGCTACTTACGTTTTTTAACACACCGTGGGTTAATCATAAAAACGAAAGCACTATCATAAAATCATCGCGGAACTTAACTTTATTACTGTCTCATTGAATATAAAAAGAATCGATAAACTTTATTTCTTTTCCATAATATAATTCAAATAATGGTTATTGATTGTATAATTCGTTCTCTTTATCATTTATGCATTTTATTGAATTTTTCTTCAAAATCAGGCGTCAAACTTGATAACGGTACGTATTTGTGCAAAGGATGCAATCGTACAACAAAACGTTTAAGACCAATGCAACAACACTTATTATCACACAGTGCAAGTAAATTCAATCTGTGTGTTAAATGTCTTAAAGGGTTCAACGATAAGTACGATATGAAGCGTCACACACGTAAACATACTCGTAAGTTAAATCTTCAATGTAAATGTTGAATTATTAGAGCTCTCTCTCTCTCTATATATATATATATATATATATATATATATATATATATATATATATATATATATATATACAATTAAGGATTGAAGTTTCTTTTTTCAGGTCAAAATAGCAACATATTGATAATGTTTTCAAATGGAAACCGAGTAAATTTAAATTCACTCTGAATAACAATAATGTTCCTTGATAGAATCATAATACTTTATGATTTCATGTAAACAGGATAAGAGAAAAGTAATGTGTGGACTTTCTACTTCAGCACTAAATCTTTAGTCTTCTATCCGTCAAAATGAAACATAATTCGTAATACTCTTCTATAGTACACTTATAATCAATTACGCAGTATGAATTGACGGACTTTTGTTAGATATATTAAGTAGATTTCAGTCATTAGTTTAATTTTATAATGCTAAATAAACGATTACAGTAATATAAATAAATTAATATACTTGTAATACCCCAATGAGTAGAAAAACTAGATTTTCTACTCATTGGGATATTACCAGTATATTATTTTTACTTAAAACAATCTACCCAATACTCAATTTATTTGAACTTATCAAATAAAAAATCTTAGTATTAATACCTACAAATTACAGTGATAGTTTTAATAGTCAGAGGGATGATTTTGCCTTGTTGTTGAGATATGTTTATTCTTAGTAGATGTAATGTATCTTACTAAGTTAAGCTCTAAATTACATTAATGCTTGCCTAAATATATTCTACCTTAAGCAAATAACATAATGACAGTATTTATTATTTAATTATCATTAATACAATTTTTGCTTTTCATTCCTAAAAACAACCACAGTTGTACGCCCGTATGTTTGTCCAGAATGCGGACGATCATTTAGCCAGCGTTGTTCATTAGAAGGTCATCGCCGCAAAATACATAGGATTCAGTTGAATTATCCACCAAATCAACGTCGTGAAAAAGTACGTGTTTGTGAAACCTGTGGTTATTCATGTCCTAAATTATATGATATGTTACAGCATACATTGAATAAACACCCAAACAGTAATTGTTTACCAAGACTACAAAGCCAATTAATAAGATATAAAGAAAAATTTCGGAGTACTTCACTTACATCAGATGATAACAACCAAACTTCAAATATACAAGATACGCTAGAAACAACTTGTAATTGGTCTTGCATATCACCATCTTCAAACAATCATAATTTCACTTAACTAACTTCTTTTGTGAGCAAAAATTCTGATTTCGAGGACACAATATAATAATCAAATACTTTAATTTCTTTATCATTTTTTACTGCATAGTCATAACTATCTTATTTTTGCTATCAAATCACCTTTTCTTAATCCAGAAAACAGATAACGGTTCTACGTAAAGCATTATTTTCTTTGTTTTTTTTGGGTGCTAATTCTGTACCGCGCGGTGATAATGTACCATTATAAATATTTCCCAGTTTTTTTATTCCACATTTTTAAACTATTTGCATACTCTGAGCTCTTATGTATATCATCTTCGCAAAGAACGAAGTCAATTTCTTCTGTAGAAAATATAAACCCGGTTATTTTTTGTATGAAAACACTACTAAATATAAAACATTCCCATCCGCAGAAACATTATTTTTCTCAACATTTAAGCTTTAGTTAAAATAAATCCGTGAACGTTTCTACAGGGTCAATGCACCAAAGAACCGAAAGAATCTGAACTTAAAGTTTAGTACACGGTTCGCAATTATTGTAACTTTCATTATCCAAATAATATTATAGATGGCTCTCGGAATATTGTAACATATATAAAAAATGGCGTTATTTAGACAGGTGAGAAAAATAGTACACAAGAAATTTAAGTCGATTATCCTCACTGAAAAAATGTACTAATTGTCTAGACATTTGGAGAAACGGATCTATACGCTTACGGGAGTAATCTTTTGTCATAGTATTCGAAATCTAGTTAACTTTTACAACCAATCAATTATTTTTGGAGGTAACAATACCAACAATAATATACAAGAATAAGTTGTATGGTGTCACAATTTGAAACCCTCGGATAATTTATTTGGACCATTTAATTCACTTGTTGTAAAATGTCGTGGTGTGGTATTCTGAATTAAAAACAAGACATAAATATTTATTAAATATGAACTAATCTTGATAAAAAAAATTATGCATTAGTAAGGGTTTCGTAGCAATCCTCGGCTTCTAAATAAACATAAGAAAATGCTTTTACTAATGCGCAAATTTAAAAATTGTTATAAATAACTTATCTTTTAGATAACTGTTTCAAACAATATCAACGTAGGATATTGTTAACCGATAATCGACCTGAGAGCTTATTAGTATTTTCGTATACCTGGTTACTTTTACAGAGGATTCCGTGAGACATTAACTTTACAGTTAGACATTTCGTATTCTTATTTAATTGACATTCCATTCAGATGTGCATTTAGAATGATGAGTACTGACTTCATCTGCCGATAATATTTAGTAACAGTTTCTTCATTTTTGATCGTTAATTTTCCTATTGTTTGTAAAATTATTCAGGGAATCTTAGGAGGGTGAATATTTTAAATGATTTAGTATCTGCAGATAAGCTGTGGTCTTATTTACCCTATTTTTTAAAAAAAAGTAATGACAAGAGTGGAGCAACAAACAGAAGGGAAATTTTATTTACTTTAGAGTGTAAAGTCGTGGTATTTGGTGCGATAGTCAGACATTTTATTTTGAAAAAAAAACCACTACACAGTTAGATAATTCACAAACGAAAACAAATAAAGACATCTTACCATATTTGAAACTAGTGAGAATAACTTACGATGCATCAAATTTAACTTAGTGGGTGCAATTTATTACTTTCCCCGCAATTTCCTATTCATTTTGAGTATTAAAATAAGAAACTGTAAAGTAACTAGAGGAACATTTGTACGAAGTGTGCAAAAATGTCACATAATTGTATTTATTTTTAACATATCACATCATAAAGAAATACGCATAGCAATATTTCAATTGCAAGGTGAATATGCTAGATTTAAGGGAAGACGGTAGTATTATTGATATCAGCTTTCAGTTATTTACAAGTGTTGAATTATGTCACATTACTCATGTATGGTTCAGATAACCATGGTATCATCTATAAATATCGTTCTAATTATAGTTTGTTGGTGGATAAAAAAGTTAATATCCGTAAATCACAAACAATCCGTTATCACTAATCATAACAGTTAGATTTCCCCTCATTTTTTCGATTTTGTCTAGATTGTAACGTCACTCTGGTTGTCAGCAGTAAAAACTAACATTAGAAATACAACTCACACTTCCTTTATTTTGGTTGTTTTTGAATATGCTAATATAAATAAAGTCTGAAAAAAAATAAATGTACCATATGAAATGATTACGTAATAAGTTTGGCAACAACAGTTTAGTTTTAATATGTACCCTCAGCATTTATTTTCAATAATGACTATAATCCACATAAAAAGCGATTGTTATGAACAGGAAGTTATTAAACTTTTGAAATGAAGTGATAATATAACCTAAACACTTAATTTGTTTAGAAATGAATACTCTGTTGATTATGAATTATACATACACATATTTGAGTGTGTGTCCACATATACAGAGGAAATATAGTTTACCGAAAAATGAAGCTGATCAGCATTTGTGTCTTTCAATTATTTCCACTCCTATGGGTAATGACGTAATCAGTGCTCTCAATCCATATTCTCATCAGTCAAAAATATTTTTTATGAAAACAAAAATAATAATATATATTTATTTTAACAGATAAACTAAATTGTTAAGGGGGATTAGGTTCATTCGAGTTTGATTTAAGCCTTTTATTATCCCCCACCACCATGACAGCATTGGAAACATATCAGGCATTATTGAGAATTAATTCTCCTCCCCTTCAATTGGAAAACGGTCTGCCAACCGATGTTTGTATACTGGCTCTCTATAAGTGAGCTTCAAAAAAGTCCATTAATATTTGGTCCTTTCGGTTAGTATTGACTTATTATGATTATGAATGTAGTCTCAGGAAAATCTAGATAGTTATTGGATCCCCGCAATTCGTGTTCAAAGTATCAATCCTGAAATCTATAGTCCGAGCCATTAGAACCAAACGGGAACTGGATTTTAATTTCGCTCCCCGAGTTTGACTGCTAGTTTGGTGGGAGAAAAATGTGAGCGTTTCTTAACGAAAAAGATTCTATGACAGTTCAATGAGAATAGCTAGTAAACCATTATTTTTGATCAGAATACATAGCTTTCCAAATTATTTATGTACATGAATGATAAGAACACCTCAATAGTATTTCAGACACCATGAACTTCAATCTAGCTATTGAATAGCTAAACTTTAGACTCTGGTCATGATTTCATAAGTATTTCTTCTTCAGTTTGCCAAGCTTTTTATTACAGTTGGCACGAGTAGGCTAAATAGCAAATGTTCACACAATAAGTGATATTTACGAAATCATGAAAATTTTTTCTTGCTACCTTTTATATTTATTTGAATCTGGTTCCCATCGTCATAATCAAATATTTCTTAGAACTCACCAAGTACTTTCATGGTAGCATTGTTCAGCTACCAAGAAGGAAATACACGAAGCAGGTCTGAACATGTGACTCAGTGAAAATTTGATCAGTGTTTAGTAGTTTTTTAATTTGACTCCAATCAGATCGTATGGTCGGAAATTACGTCACGTTCGCACGTAGGGCTCACCAATTTATTGGCCCGATATATGACTCCAGTTAAATTGTATGCCGATTGTTATTGAAATATAGATGCCACCAAACCTCGTATATTTTTATCGACTTAATTCGCGTTAGAGAATAATGGAATAGAATAAGTCAGATACGAGAATGAATTATAAATACATATATTTCATACATCATTCGATCCGAACAGACAATCAGAGAAACGGAGTGAAGCAAAATGGAATGACGCTCACAGGAGACGGCGGGTAAGCCAAACAGAGAGGAACTAGTTACCATAAATGTAACCATTAACCGAATTTTCCCTATTAACTGCATTAGTATAGAGGATTTTCCAATTATTTAACGACTTGCTACTAATTGTTCAAAATTTTCCCAGACAATTGACATAAAAAGTCCAATGACTAAAGGGTAGAATGTTTACTATACAACAAAACAATCAAAAACTCTTTCATACAACGGATCTCGTTTGACTCCAGTGGTTTTCTAACGGTTCTTTACTTTTTGCCGAATTGTATTAAAATGTATTGACAAACTAATACTAGAGTATTCAAACTCTTAAAACACATAAGGCAACAAACGATATAATATACCCTTACATTTAAAGATAAAAGTCCTAGTCTCTACATTAAAAAAGGTAGCTGAGATAAATTTTTAGAAAAATTTATATTCTATAATAAGCTATCATGCAAAACAATTAAACTTTTTTAAAATCAGTGTCTGCGTGTGTTCGGATTCGGACATGTTCAACTTTAAGTATTTGGTTGACAGAAAAATGTATTGCTTAATATTATTGTAATTTTCTTATCCACTATGCAAAACTTTAATGATCTTGATGAAACGCTGTAGACTATTAAGTAAACAGAAGTTCTCATTTTATAATATCTGATTTTTCATTGAACCTCTTTATTTTCAGACAGATCACCAAGGGAGTTGATTGTTGAGTTTTATAATTTTAAAAGTAAAGAGAAAATTCCATAGTATACTGGTTCTCTTTTGATTAAAATCCCATCTTCCTGAGATAAGTTAAGCAACACTCTTTTGACCTGTGTTTTGCATTAAAAATGTTCAGTTATGAAAACTTATTTGCATCATCGTGTGCTTATTAGCCACTTTGATCACTTAACATGAGAAATATTTAGAAATTGTATTTAGAATCTATTTCTACCTTGTCAGTATTGAGTGAGTGGTTCCCTGAAATACAATGAATGTGTAGAATGTTATAGTTGAGTAGATGAAGGCAGTTTCACCTTCAAAACAACCTGTGATCAGTTGGAAAGTGTTATTCGAATAATTGATTACGAATCTATTAGATCTTTGATTTGTAACAGTGTAACACACACTTCTAAAAGCTAATCCAAGTGAGAAAAGTCATTAACCCCCTTTTAAAACTGACCAGAATTTTCTCATTCTTTTAGTAGTCAATTAGGATTTGTACAGGTTTATATTTTACTGTTATTAATATTAAGCACTGAGAATGATCAGTCTTTAGTGAAATATGTGAA